CCGATTGCTACCGGAGCCGGGCCGAGTGGTAAGTCTCTGGCAGGCGAGAATCTTGCTGGAACTGGCCCGAGTGTATTTTGCTATCTGGGAAATCTCTCTCTCTCTCTCAATGTCGGAAATTGACATTGAAATTTACATCGGAAATGCAGACCTCTAGTTCAAGGTAACTGCACCTAATATGAGTGTGCTCTAAGTCAGACTCAACATTGCAGATCTTGACTATTGCATATGCGCACATTGTGATATCAATGCTGAAATGATATATTGAGCAGCCCTAATACACGTCTCTAGCATCATGTATGTCGGCCTGTCCTGTTTAACCTTTTCTTGAATGTGTTTGTGTCTGAACTGACCCACTGAACTAATGTCTTGTTGAATGTGTTTGTGTTTGCTTCTCTCTTTCTTTCTCTGTGTGTCTGTGTGTTTTGGTCTGCAACGCTCAGCGGTCGTCTGGCCCAGGGAGAGCTGGCCCAATGGGACGACCCTGAAGCAGGCTCCATAGCTATTAACAAGCCGGCGTCGCGCCACTTCTACCCAATCGCCCTCCTGCTCGTCAGCTCCCACCTGCTGGTGGTCTGGCTCATTTTAAGTCTTGTTTTTTTGCTTGCGAAATACCAATAAATGCTGATTATGCCATAATCAAGCTGCGTCTAACTTCTTTACTTGCCCACAGCTCTACTCTTAGATCATTGTAAAGAGAAAGGCAGGTTGTATTGTTTCTGATTCTTCTCAACCACACTGTTAATACTAGCTACAGTTTCTGTATTTAGTAATTCACGAGTGTTTTCTGTTTATTCATGGTTGAGAATTGCATTATGGGATGTGGATTTCTGCTCTGTCCACTTTTGATGTTGAAAATACATCTTTTTAAAGTGACTTATTATTGACATTTTAGTAGCTTGAAATAATATAATGTATAAGAAACAATATATAGAGAAAAAAAAGTCTTTAAATAACAGAAAATATACTGGCAGTCTATTACAAAGTTATTGTAGAGAAATATACACCGACTCAGACATATTGTCAGGATTCTGCCACTGTCAATTCACTGTCAGTCCAGACACTGGTCCTGTCATGTCTTGTATGTTGTGCTCGGCACGAGTTTTCTCAGGTCAAGCACTCATATTTCACATCATTGTTGGTCTTTGTCATTGTATTAGCGCCATCTTGACTGCACTCGGGCCGTGCGCGCTCCTGCTTCATGCAGGCATGCAAGTTCCATTCCAGTATTATTTGGAAAAGAACGATGTAGTGCCGAGTGTTTCCCAAATCCCCTAATTTCTCTATCGCAGATCCATCATTTAAACCTCATTAGTTATATCGTAAAACGCACATAATGATGTTCTAAACAGGGTGGTGACAACTTTACAGAAGAAGCACATCATTTCTTTGTGCAAATGATATTGTTTTACCCAGACACACATTTAAAAATTAATCGAATATTAGTTTTGGTAAAACAATCCACTCGCTTTCCATATTAATTGAAATATATGTAAATGGCACATATATGGCCTGTGCTTCCTTTACAAATATTATTGCCAATATTCCATAGTCTATTCTAAAACAAAAAAAAATCACTTAAAAAAAGCTAACACTTATTATAATATCATATATAAATCATATATTAAATAAATAATGAAGCGATTTATTTAGAAATTTGATTTAATATTTATTATTTATTAGGAAATTAAAAATCCTACTTTAATAATAATATTAATAATATTAATGATGATTAAAAAATATTATTATTAATAAGTAGGATATTGTTTATTTTTATAATTTAAAAAAGCCTATTTTTACAATTTGTCACATGCAAATCACTGCAGAAATCTTCTAACCACAGGCCCATGTCATATACAGTACAGACACTTAATAAATAACTACTCTAAATTTAAAGCGTTAATGAATGCTATGTTTTTGTTTTCACAAGCTTTGGAGACGTAACAAATTCTGCTTTTAAATAATTGGTCACCTAAAGCTTTCGCCATGAGCCACATGTGTTGAAAATGGCATAAATGTTTTTAAAGTACACTGCGAAGGGAACACAATTGTAAACATGAGGATCGCAAAACTGAACTGTAAAAATACTTTGATAGCAAATTACACCTAAGAGAGATGACTTTAATGCTTTTATTTTAATCATTCCAAGTTTAAATGTCAGAAAATTCTAAAGAAATAGGGCATAGGGGGGATAACTGGGAATAGAACACAGCCAGTAACTACATTTTTAACTACAGCTCCAAAGATGTAGTTGCAAGCATAGAAGTTTGCGACTCAGTTTGCGAAGGTTTATTGGAACTACAGATTTGGGAAACGTCAAGTCAACGTACTATGTTTGTAACGACGAAACTTGCAACCTTAGTTGGCTAACGATAGTTTTCGGAAGCGCACCCCTGCATGTTTGTTTTGTGAATATGTGAGCCTTACCAAAGGCATATTTCTATCAAGTGTTTTAACTTGAGTTTTAATCTTCTTAAATATCCTCTTCAGTGCATCTCAATATGCCTCTCCACACTCTATAGCAGGTAAAACAGCTTCTGAGCTGAGTAGGATGTAGAATTGAACAAAGACAGTTGGAGAAAAAAAGCTGAATGACTCACTACTTCTGGTATGATTATGAAATATGCATAAAGTGGACACTTTACTAGCCAATGATGTTGTGGAAAAATTATTTGTGGTTAGAACGGAGTGCATTAGTGGTTTTCTCAGTTTGGTTATGAAAGTACACACTTTCCACATGGAAAGACAAGAGCTCTACCTTTATACAGACCTTCCCTACATTAATACAGTGCACTTGAGGGTGTGAAAGAAATGTGTGAGTGCTTTAGTGCATTAGTGTGTGTTTATATACAGTTGAAGTCAGAGTTATGAGCCCTGCTGAATTATTCACCTCCTGTATGTTTTCCCCAATTTCTGTTTAACGGAAAGATTTTTTCAACACATTTCTAATCATAATAGTTTCTAATAACTAATTTCTTTTATCTCTGCCATGATGACAGCACATAATGTAGTAATACTATAATACTAGGGGCCCTATCATATACCCGGCGCAGTGTGGCGCAAGGCGTGACGCAGTAGTCTTTTGATAGTTTAAGATTGGCGCAAGAGTGGTTTTGAGGCGTTGCGCTACATTGTTTGAATAGCAAATGCATTAGCGCTCATATGTGCGCCCATAGGCGTTCTGGTCTAAAAAGAAAGGCGTTCTGAGGCGGACCGCTGGCGCGTTGCTATTTTGAGAGACTATAATAGATTTTTCATTAGACCTAAACTAACCCGGTCTAAACTCCAGCCCAGAGTTGCGCCTCGCTTACGCACTGCTTAATACACACAAGAGAGCAATAGGCAAATATCTTTACCTATGAAAAAATGTAAATATAAAGGATATATATAGGATATAATAAGAATAGATATAGGATATAAATATAAAGGATTAAAATATTACAAAACATTATTTTCTAGCCTACATATATATGAAAAATCACTGCTTTTATGTCTTCTTCATCTCGGGAGGCTTTTTCAGTTCATAACAATTTGCTTTTGTATAATGTTATTATTATTAGCAGTATTATTTATTATATCCATATTTATATTTGTTTTATTAAAAACAGGCTTAGATTTGCCCACCTGTCACGTTTTAGACCATAAGGGGCACAGCACGTGTTTTAGGATATAACTCAGGTTTTGTTCACACTTTGTTATTATTGTTCATTTATTTGTTTGCTGGAAATTAGAACTGAATTTAGAAATAGTTTTGAAACGAATCTTTGCGCTTAACAAACGCAATTAATTATTTATAGACTAATCGATGTCTGTGCGTAAAGGTTTCCCCATCCAAGAGCGAATGTGAAAGTGATCCATTATCTCTCATTCTCACGCAGTAGATGCTCTGTTTAACAGTTTTCTGTTAAAAAAAAAAAAACTGTTAACTGTTTGCTTGTGAAATGCTCAGTTTTTCCACTTAGACTTATTTTGCGTCCTGTAAATAGCGAATGCGCTTATGGCTCGACGCAAGGCTCTTAAAGGGAATGGGAGATGAGACTCTAATTGGTTTATTCTCAAAACACACCAATAACTCATTAAGAAAATAAACTCAACCCTTTTAGATCATGCACCACGGCGCAAAGCGGATTTTCCCGTCCTTAAATTAGCAAAAATGCGTTCTGACACGCCCTGAAAGCGTTTGCGCCCTTCGTTTTGCGCTATGCGCATGGACCGTCAAAATAGAGCCCAAGATATTTTTCAAGATACTGGTGTTCAGCTTAAAGTGACGTTTAAAGGCTTTACTAGGTTAATTAGGCAGGTTAGGGTAATTAGGTAAGTCATTGTATAACAATGGTTTGTTCTGTAGACTATTGAAAAGAAATACTGCTTAAGGGGGCTAATAATTTTGACCATACAATGTTCTTTTTTTATTTTATTTATTTATTTATTTTTTTATAAAAAAAACAGTTTTTATTCTTGTTGAAATAAAACAAGACTTTCTCCAGAAAAAAAAATATTATAGGAAACAGTGAAAAACTCCTCACTCTGTTAAACATCATTTGGAAATATTTAAAAAATTAAAAAATATTGGCTTGAGGTCAAATCACTTTGAGTTCAACTGTATATGAACGTTTAGCTGTTTCACTTTCACCAGTCTCCCATCACCCGCATACATGCGTTTTCACTCTTTTCTCTGGAACAGGCATAAGAGTAAGTGCTGTAAATAATCTCATGAAATGAAAGCAGAATCATCCTGTTTGTTTTTATTGATCTTAAATGTGAAGCATTTTAGCTTTTGTTTTCCGCCAGCAGGAAGTGTTTGTTTACGACACGCTCCAAATGCTCCATGATCTTCAGTTATGTGTTGCATTTCAGTGTCATTTATGTCATTTAAGATCACAGTTTCCTCATGCTTAGCATATCCGTGTGCAGGTTAAAACATTCATTATCATCATCATTCATCATCCCTTTCCTTTTGTTTCTTTCTTCCTTTGTGTCTTCATCTCCCCCCTCATCAGAGAAGGCTGCCGGATTGAGAATGTGCAAAAGAATATAAAGTGCAGGAAATACGCCTTCAACATGCTGCAGCTGATGGCTTTTCCCAAATACTACCGGCCGCCTGATGGGACATACGGGAAGGTGGACTCATGAGAAACAGCACCGTTCCTCTTATTATTGACACATCTACAGTGGGGTTCAGAAGCTATGCTGACAATTTGGAAATTATATTTGAGAAAATGTATTATATGACACAAAATTATCCTTCAGGTGCTGCTCAGTCAATCTGACTCTTATTTGTTTGTTAGGTTTGGTTTATTCATTTAAATGGTACGAATATTTTGCCACTATAAATATATATATATATATATATATATATATATATGATGATTAGCCAGTCAGTCAACAACGACTTTCGGGCACCTTATGGGTCATGATTTGCCATGGTTTCCTATTTCTGACTGCTTCTTTCAGTTGATCCATGTTTAAGTTGGTGTCAGTCTTGGTTGTGTCCAGCCATCGTGTTCACTGACGCCCTCTTCTTCTTGATCCACTGACTGCACCGAGCATTAAAGCTGTTTCCATAGAGTTGGCTCGCATGATATGACCAAAGAACGATAGCCGGTGCTTGGTGATTTCGCCCTCTAGCGATACATTTTGTTTGACACGCTCCAGGATCATTTTGTTCGTGATCCTCGCCGCCCATGATATGCGCATCATTTGCCTCCAGCACCACAGTTCGAAAGCATCGATCTTCCTTCTGTCTTTCTTCTTGAGTGTCCAGCTCCCACATGCATACATGAAGATTGGGTAAACAATGGCATTGATTATTCCGATCTTTGTTACAATGCTGATGTCCTTGCTTTTCCATACCTTCTCCATTCCTTGCATTGCACTGCGGCCAAGTTCGATTCTTCGTCTGATCTCCGGCCCTGACTCGCCATTGTAGTCGATCTTGGATCCAAGGAAGATAGGAAGGAAGTCTTGGACTGATTCGATTTCCTCATTGTCAATTGTTATTTATATATATATATATATATTTATTTTTATTTTTTAATCAAGGACATGATTTGAATCTTCTTTAAAGAGAGACCAGACGAGTTCTCTAGTTCTATGATCAAAAATTAGTTAACAGGTCATAAATATATATATTTTTAAAACTAACCCATAAAAATACAAAATAATCAACAAAAAATGTTTTTAAAGAGCCCTTATAATGCATTAAAAAAGGTCATGTTTTGGTTTTGGGGGTCTCCAACAACATGCTGAAATGCATGCAAGGTCAAAAAACCCTTTCATTGTATTAATAATCTGCATTTATTTTTATCTAATTTTTCCAGAGACTCCCCTATGAATTGTTCAGTGAGTCATTTGTTCCCAAACTCCAAACTCCTCTTTTTTCTGATGACCCAGTTTGTTGTGATTGGTCGACTGGATTCAGCGCCAGACAGAGAGAAACACCCACCATGGCTATAAAGTAGCAGAAAGTGTTATCGCCCAAAGCTGGAATGCATTAGAGAGCCCCTGTTATGGGATTTTGAAAATGAGCTTTCATGCAGTGTGTAACACAGCTGTGAGTGAATGAAAACAGAGTCAACTATTTCGTCACAGATTCAATAGTTTTAAACATGGTGCACTTTCAGATTTAATCCTCAGCCGGATGTTTTCATTCACTCAAAGCTGTGTCACACACTTCATGGAAGGTCAGTTTCAAAAACCCATAGTAGGGGCTCTCTAAAAGAATATAGTATTTCAATTTTTTCAATTTCATTTCATGAACATCATCGGCGTTTAATAATAATAAATTTTTATAATATTTTATAATATATTTAATGACTAATATTAATAATATTAGTCACACATCATCATTGAACATCATCAGGGGGTTATTATTATTATTATTAAATATTTAATTTAATCAATTGTTTTACTTTAATTACAGCAGCACTTGCACAAAACCCAGTATACCAAACAATAAATAATGATATGCAAAGAGCAGACTTTTGAACCTCGCTGTAAATGCTGAATATATGTATTCTTCTGTTGTCTTTAATAATCAGTAGATATTTCTCCAGATATGCTACTGAAAAGGCTGAACTCATGTTTTATGTTTGCAAGGAAAAAATGCAGTGCATTATTTAAAATGATAATTTAAAAACTAAATGTAAACTAGTAAATATAGATTTTATACATGTAAGTGCATACAAATGTTTTCTATCAGAAGAGATTGTTCATGCAGGAAATGTAGCTTTCAATGCCAAATAACTGTTTGACCCCGTCATGTCCGTCCACATTCATCATGTTTATGTGTGTGTGTGTGTGTGTGTGCGTGTGTGTGTGTGTGTGTGTGTGTGTGTGTGTGTGTGTTTGTGCGTGTGTGCGCGTGTGTGTGTGTGTGTGTGTGTGTGTGTGTGTGTGTGTGTGTGTGTGTGTGTGTGTGTGTGTGTGTGTGTGTGTGTGTGTGTGTGTGTGTGTTTGTGTGTTCCAAAGCCCCAAATCTTTTGTTGTGACTGTTTTGTTCTTGTTGTCCTGAAGCATTTCAGTAAGTGTGTACTGTATGTTTTTTATATCTGTGTTCTTATATAAAGTAATTTCACTCTGTTTTAGAGGGGGCTTTCTGCATATGTCCATAAAGGCCTTGGTAAATGGAGGGTGCATAAACTTTTGCACGGAACGTACTTTAATCTTAATGTTTACATAATATGCTCTTTGAATGCTGGTATCTTGCAGCTGCAAATGAACAGTTTTTCCTCTCTGTTGTGATGATACTTTGGCAGGGCTTGTGTTGTTTTTAGATTCTCACCATGATGACACTCATGGATGAGGTACATTTCCAGTCTAAGTGTTCTGGATGAAAAATAATGTGCTTTCTGTGCTTGTGTGTCTAAAACTGTTCATTCCAGAGGTCTGTTGCACAAAGTCAGATTTGTTTTTTACCCTTATAAGTTCATGTTAAGTTTGAGCAAATGTGTTTTCTGGCTGGAAAAGGCAGGTTGGTTTTCATCAGGTTTCGTCATGATGATACTCTTGCAGCATGGCTAGGCTCACACGGAATCTGCGCGCACAGAATTCAGCAGAATTCCGCAGATTTCTGCATATTTTTAGCTTTTCATTAATTCTGTTTATTTACTTGAGTAAATGTGTAAATCTAAATTAATTCCGTTTTTAATCAGTAATTTATTACTTTTTATTTAATATATTAAAGTTTTAGTTATGATACTCCGCTGGATACTCCCAAAATAATTCCGCAGAAATCCGCAGATTTTTACCAAAATTCTGCGCAGAAATAACAAAAAACGTTTGCAGATTCCGTCTGGCCCTGAGCATGGCTAACCTGCTCCAGAGCTGTTTTTATTCTGGAGATTGCAGACCCAAACTCAACCAATCAGCTGTGAGTAAAGTCACATGTATGACATTTTTTACTTAAAATAGTCAAAATAGTTTATTGTTGCTAATAATTTGTTTATGTTGTTTATTTATTCATTCATTTATTTTATTTTCAGCTTAGTCCCTTTATTAATCCGGGGTCGCCACAGCAGAATTAACTGCTAACTTATCCAGCACGTTTTACACAGCGGATGCCCTTCCAGCTGCAATTCCTCTCTGGGAAACATCCTTACACAATCACTCACACTCATACACTACGGACACTTTAGGCTACCCTATTCACCTGTACCGCATGTCTTTGGACTGTGGGGGAAACCAGAGCACCCGGAGAAAACCCACGCGAACGCCGTGAGAACATGCAAACTCCACACAGAAACGCCAACTGACCCAGCCAAGGCTTTAACCAGCGACCTTCTTGCTGTAAGTTGACAGCACTACCTACTGCGCCACCGCGTCACCCTTTGTTTATGTTGTGTAAATTATAATGAATCATATCATATATTAAACACTTTCATATTTTCAATTAATATTATTAATGCCTTTAAAATTGCATTTAAATTGAAACATTAACATACAATTTAGCTTCACTTTATAAGCTTTTTAAACGATGTCCCACACCAATTCGTAACTTTTTGATTTAGGTAGGGGCTTATTCATATGAATTTGTACGATCTGATTTTTAGTACTACTTTCTCATCCATCAATGACTTTCAGAGTGCCATTTCTGTACAACTAGACTCGTATGAATTCATACAAATTAGCCACTAATGCCTTTAAATAGCATTAAATTAAAATAAGAACATATTAATTAGCTTCAATATATTTGCTTTTTCAACGCTATCTCAAGCCAATTTGTAACTTTTTACTTAATAGCTAATTCGTATAAAAATATGATCTTATTCAGACATTTTAGCACTATTTTCTCATCCAGCAATGACGATTAGGTTTGGGGGGTGTTTGGTGCCACGCCTCCTTTTAAAAGTCATACATTTCCGTATGATTCCACTGGCCACGAATGCCTTTAAATAGCAATCAATTAAAATATTAGCAAATAAATTAGCTTCAATATATAAGCTTTATCAACGCTATCTCACACCAATTTTATTCATTTTCTTTTCGGCTTAGTCCCTTTATTAATCTCGGTTCACCACAGCGGAAGGAACCACCAACTTATTTAGCACATGTTTAACACAGCGGATGCCCTTCTAGCTGCAACCCATCTCTGGGAAACATCCATACACACTCATACACTATGGACAATTTAACTTTGGACTGTGGGGTAAACCGGAGCACTCGGAGGAACCCCATGCAAATGCAGGGAGAACATGCAAACTCCACACAGAAACGCCAACTCACCCAGCCGAGGTGCGAACTAGCGACCTTCTTGCTGTGAGGCAACAGCACTACCTACTGCGCCAGTAGGTAACGTTTTATCAAATAGCTAATTTGTATAAAAAATATGATCTTATTTGTTCATTTTAGTACGATTTCGTATCCACCAATGATGATTAGGATTAGGGGTGGGGTTTAATAGTGAGATCAGGCTGGCTTTTTAAATGGCTGTATTTTGAGTGTGACCCCACCCACTATTATCTGAATAGACACTGTTGATTCAGAGAAAGTTTGAGGAGGCAAGTTAAAGAAAATGTTAATATATGTTTTCTTTAACTTGCCAACTCAAACTTTCACTACAACAGAGTATTTATTTCAGCGTTGTGTTTAAATTCAGTATATGTCTTAATCTTTCCCAGAGATGGGTTGCGGCTGGAAGGGCATCCGCTGCGAAAAAACTTGCTGGATAAGTTGGCGGTTCATTCCGCTGTGGCGACCCCGGATTAATAAAGGGACTAAGCCAACAAGAAAATGAATGAATGATATGTCTTAAGCTTAACAGAGAAGTCCATTGTACTGACTCATCAAAACCGACACTTATCTGTGCCGTGTGATTGGCTAAAACAACTTAACCTGAACTTCAGTTTGCATTTCTTCAGGTTTGTCAACCTGAAGCGTACTCTGCAGCCCAGAGTTTGTTTAACTGGTTTTTGTGCAACAGGCCTCAGCCCACATTTATGTTTGTCATCGGTCAAATTAAAACGATTGTGAAGCAAATCATCCACACTCTACCAAACAATCACAACACATGCATAAAAAACAGCTCATCTAGACATAACAGTCCATCATGTACTATTATGTAGTAGATTCACTCTCAAATCAGCTTATTCACGGTGTCTGTAATCTTCTGCTAGGAATGACTGACTATAATGGCAGTCATACAGTATATGAGTACCTGTTCATTCATAAACACAGCACAGCAGCAGTTATAACATCTTGACGGACAGTCCTGGGCTTTCCTCACATTGCTGGACAATCTCGTCAGATGATGGCCTGCGTTCAGAAGTGCTGCAGACCCTCAAAAGAGCATCGCGGAGGTCAGAAACCTGGTCAATAAGGGATCTGTTCAATAAGCATCAACCACTTCTACAGCATCGTCAGGTGAGCAGATGAAAGACTAATATTGACATAATGCAATCTGTATTTCAACTTGCTCCAAAGCAATACACACCCATAGGGAAATGCACATAAACATGGGAATATCAAATGTTTCTCAGGACTATAACTGAAAAAAATATACTCAACAGGGTGCAATAGGGTATATGCAGAAGTATGTGGAAGGACTGTTAGTTTGTCAGTTACCTGGGTCAAGCGCTTTCAGTGAACTGTATATCATTATAAAATTGGTGCGTTTAAGATCTGCTCTCTTTAAAAATCAGTGTGATATCTGATATACAGTGGGTGTCGGAATGTACAAGAAGCACTGCATTAAATTATATTTCCCCCGTCATGTCTTTAAAATAGGAGCATTTATTTTACCCCAGTATATTCAATGGAGCTTCTGCGCTAGCCTGCCTGTCCTGACGGACGAGTGCGAGTAAACGGCTTTTCATCTCATTTTAGGCTTGAGCAACTAAATGAATGCCTAAGTCTATTTGACTGATTCTATTTTAATTATATTACAACATCAATGCTGTGAAAGGAGCCGTATAAAATGGGGAAAAAATCACGTTAACCGTTCACCAGAAGCTTATCAGTATGGGAAGAAGCACAAGGTCTGCATATACCCTGTTGGTCACTAAGACCTGCAATGCAAATGTGGTATTATAAGGACATTATTTTTGCTAAGTTGTTTTTGATTTATCATTTTAATGATTAAAACTTATTTTAATAATCGAAAAAGTTTCTAGTTCATTGAAATTCTGAAAGAATTCACCTTAATCAATAAAATGACATTATAAAATAACATTACAATATATTAACATGTAACATGTTATAGAATAACATCAATCCTATGTTATAGGACGTGAGGACACTTGCGTAACTCACACTTTAGTGGTGCAACATTATCCCAGCAAACACCTTATGTTCCTATATGGTTTCCTTTTGGTTATATTTTTGGAGGGGAACCAATATAGAACCTTCCAGGAATGTCTTGGGAGCATTCTTTGTTTCTTGGGAGGCTACAGTGCCACTGCATGATTTTTCAGTCAAACTATGTCTTTTTATCTGAATGAATACTTAGAAAATTGATGCAAACAAAGGAAAGTGCTGTTAATGATTCCTTGAAATTCATTAAAAATAAAGTACATCTGCTTTTTTCTAATTTTGGGCTCAGATGAAAGACAGTTGATCTAATTCTGCATTGCGGAGATGTGCTTGTTTTAGAGCTTCCAATTCAGTTGCCTATGGGAGAAATTACTGGGTATAATAATACAAACATTTATACATAATACATTTAATAACACAATAATAGAAATATCAGTTTGCAAAATCAAGCGGCATAACAGGCTGTTTGGAACGTAAAAAAAAATAACCGGAAGTGAATGAAACCGGACGTCCTGTGACAGTAATGCTCCGATGGCTGCGCCCACTCCAAGTTAAAGAATAAGGCCAATTCAAAGACTTTTTCCACAACTTGGCACTGCACGTTGTATTGTTGTCTACAGAGGATCTTGATCATTTAGTTCCTGCACTGACCAACAGCACTGCTTGGATAGATAAGGCTTGTAACTAAGGAACAGACAGGTCTGGTAATCAGGTAGTAGAGTATGACCCCAAAGCTCGCCTACTATTGTTACAGAGTAGAGCAATTCCAGCATTATTGATGTGACATTATAGCAGTGTATTGATCTATCAGTTTATATATTCCATAAAGCTGTACGATTCTGGCTAAAATGAGAATCACGTTTGTTTTTTGTTTTTTTTGCTCAAAATAAAGATCACGATTTTGTCACGATTCTGTAGATATAAAGTAAAGGTGATGAGTGCATGGGCTATTATTATTGTTATTCTCAAATATGTGGTAAAACAGCAATAGTCTTTGTGTAGCTGTACTGTTGGTTAAAATGCAAACTTGCATAGACTTGGAATGGTGGACTTGAACAGACTTTAGATTTGTCCTGGTCATTAATGCTGATGATAATTCTGATGTCGAATTATTGTGTTTGAGACATTTTCTTACAGTCTGTCATTTTCTGCTTAAAATCTGTCACTGACATGAATTTCGTGATTACAGAAAAAATGTGGGTATTTTTGCATTTCGGCTGGGGTTTTTTAATACTTTTCGGGCTGGAATCAGTCAGCTACATCTGGCAAGACTGTGTGCGCATTCGGTTTCATTTTCACTGCTAAGAGCGGTTCACCTCCTGCACGGCTCCCAAAAGATTCCTCTGTGCCGCAAACTGAATTTTCTTTTACAACTTTATTAACTGTTATTCACAGCCTGTGCAGGTTCTGTTCACTAAAGTAGACTCTCTGTGGTAACAGCTGACGGTCAGCTCACGTCACGTTGGATTTTGCAGTCGCAACGTAAAACAATGTAAAGACTTGTGCGGCCACCATTGCTTCTCTCCTGAACTTGAAAATATGATTGACAGAATCGTAGAAATGCTGGATTAAGAACGTCTAGGGCAGTGATCACCAAACTTGTTCCTGGAGGGCCGGTGTCCGGCAGATTTTATCTCCAACCCTAATCAAACACACCTGAACAAGCCAATCAAGGTTTTACTTGGTATACTTGAAACATCCAGCCAGGTGTGTTGAGGCAAGATCGAGCTAAACCCTGCAGGAACATCGGCCCTCCTGGACCAGGATTAGTGACCCCTGGTCTAGGGGGTCGAATCGAGATCAGTACGATTTATCATTTGGGAACAGAATGATGTAGTGACGAGTGTTTCCCAAAACCGGTAGCATGATACTCTAAACAGGGTGGAGTAAGTTATTACTTTGTGAGGAGCCCAAAATTTTCTTTCTGCAATATATATCGTTTTACAAGCACACGCATTAAAAAAAAAAATCCAATATTAGTTTTGGTAAAAACGACCACCTCTTCCTCGGTCATCTTTCCATCGAGCAAGTTTCTTGTGTTAGCACAATGATTGGTTGGCGACGTAATCGACCAGAGCAAGAGGTGGCATTAACGCACCAAAAAGTTTGTTGTCGACCTCAGAAAAACGGTATGAAGGAGAAATCGTACATTCTCATCATCGTATGGATTTACTTTCATTGTCTAACTTTCGCTTTAGCCAGAGGAGTCTGTTGGTGCCCTGAATTTCACAAATCGATAACTTTGTGAGTCATAATATATCATTGGAAATAAAAGGGTCTGTTTTTATTTCTGTACACTTACGATAAGGGCAAAAACCATTTGCTTTTATAAAATACAGAAAGGCTAGGTTGCATACCTGCAGATGCCTCCTCCGGTTACTCATTGAAGCCTTTGATTTCAAAAGTATTTTAACAGCTGCAATTTTTGCACTGAACTGTTGTATTTCTGTCTGTCTCGGATTTCAGGATGAAATGATTTTAAATTTCCAGCAATAAAATGCTTTTATTTTACTTGCCATGGTGGCAACTCTCAGACTGGATGTAGTAGCCTAATGCTTTCAGCGGCGGAGAATTAAGGTAACTGGTAGACGTGGTGCGCCGCAATAAAACCGGAAAACCAATCAAAAGCATCAGAATAGCACCGCTTTAATAAATGGCCTTAGCAGAAGGCATCGTGCATATCAAAAACAGGCACAGCAACAGATTAATATTACTCAACATATTCCAGATTTTTAAAGAACATTTAGATGTAACCCCATTTGTAATCTTTAACATGTTCATAAGAAACTGTAATTTAATTACACTTTTTTCTCATAAACTATAACGAATTACTGTTACTTTTATTTTGTAATTAAATGACGTAACACCCTGACATGTAACTAGTTACCCTCCATCACTGCAAACAATGTAGAAAGGGTTTCGCTATTTAGTTGAACACTTTAGTCAATAGGTCAACTGAGACGCAGCACGAGTCATTGAATTGCCTTCGACCAATCAGGAACCGGAACTGTCGGTTTTATAATTAGTAATGTCAACATGAACTAGTGGATCTTAAAGCACATGAACTTTTCTCAGGAAATTCCTCCTCAAGCAACAATAAACAATAGAAGCCAACAGCCAATGCATAAAAACCAAAACATGCACTCTCTGGGATCCAGTTCACCTCAACAGCACATCAACACATAACTATTTCTGTTAATAAAAATGCTTTAATGTAACAATACATAAAAAACAACATAAAAAAACATATTTCACAAGTGGAAGTATTTGTTCATCTGTACATTTTGAAGGACATTCACAGAACAATCAGTCACGAAACCCCATTGCTTTTGTTACAAAAATATATCATTCTTACAGTATTAACAGTCACGCGTTCAGAGAAGAAATATAAATATTAATAGTACAAAATAAAAGACACCAGCTTAATTTAGGATGATAATAGTTAAGTGAGCTTATTATTTATGTTATCTGTGAAATTGTGGTTTCAATCACACGTTGCATTGTTTTTTTTTCCGCAGTTATCTATAAGTTTTTGTAGAAAGTTCCTCATCCTGTCAAAAAACAAAGTGGAGTTGGTGAGCTCTTGCAGTTCACAAGGATGTCGCGCTGAGCAATTCTGTGGAAACACAAATTCTTCATTAATATAGTTGTCGTTCATGATTAGACATAATAGAAAATTAGAAATGCATCATTCAGAATTGAAGAATCAGCTCACATCACATGCATGGCTGTTGAATTGAAATGGCGGGACGAGTAATTAAAAAAATAATAAAAATTACACAACTTAATTCCAATTAGAAATTCAAAACAATTATTTAAACTTACAAATCCTTTTTCAATGTTTCCCAAATGATGTTTAACAGAGCAAGGAAATTTTCATGGTATGTCTGATAATATTTTTTCTCCTTTCTAATAACTGATGTATTTTATCTTTGCCGTGATGACAGTAAATTATATTTGACTATATATTTTTCAAGACACTTCTATACAGCTTAAAGTGACATTTAAAGGCTTAACTAGGTTAATTAGCCATGTTATTGTATAAAGATGGTTTGTTCTGTAGACTATTGAAAAATATTCAAAGGGGGTAATCATTTTGACCTTAAAATGGTGTTTAAAAAATTAAAAACGGCTTTTATTCAAGCCGAAATAAAACAAATAAGACTTTCTCCAGAAGAAAATTATTATCAGACATACTGTGAAAATTTCCTTGCTCTGTTAAATATAATTTGGGAAATATTTAAAAAAGAAAAAAAAAATCAAAGGGGGCTAATAATTCTGACTTCAACTGTATATAACGATTCTTTGTTAGTTTAAGTTCTTTAATTGTTTATTAGTGTCTATGTCATTACTATATTACACAAACACACAAATACATATATATGTGTATATATAGTTTAAAAATAATTTATTGCTTAAATTAATAATATTTAACCTTTATCTTTAAATGTCCAGTAAAAAAGCAAATAATAGGTGTTTTTTATGTTAATATAATTTCCTTTTTTCTTAACTGTGTAGTTAAATGTAGATTTTTTTTTGTTGTTTAGTTAATGTTTTACTTTAACGTTTTAGGATTTACTTTAATTCAGCTTTATTTGTATAGCGCTTTTACAATGTAGATTGTGTCAAAGCAGCTTCACATAAATGGTCATAGTAACTGGAACAGTGTTGTTCAGTTTTTAGTGTTTAAGTTCAGTTCAGTTTAGCTCAGTTCAGTGTGATAAAGGTACATTTTAGTTTCGATAAAATTACACTGATATGCACTGTTTTATAATGTCATTTCAAGCAACGATTATTAAAGGTTTCCAAAATAGCCCACATGTTGTGTGAATAAATAGGTTTCAAGAGTTCACACTTAGCTGATGATTGATTATAATGCTTGTTTGACATGCTGTCCAGGGAGAGAGCCCTGAGCTTATAAGATCCTCGAGCCTGGGGCCCCCTCCCGTTTGCAGGGTGAGAGGGGAGTTTGAGCTCAGGTAGATCTCGAGATCTCCCCTGCTGTAGTAGCTAATGAACAGATAGTGATTGCTCTTAAGAGATAACTACTTACTAGGAGCATGTCTATGGTGCCGATTTGGATTATTCAATTAACTTAAGATGCATATATTTGGACGGTGAGAGGAACCTGGGGGAAACCCACACAAGCACGGGTAGAACATATAAACTCCGCACAAAAACGTCGACTGGCATGGTAAGGACTAGAACCAGTGATTTTCTTGCTGTGAGGCAACAGTGCTAAGCACTGGGCCACCGTGCCACCCATATAGAAATGGAGGAGGAGTAGGGGTGGAAGGGGGGATTCTTCAAAATGAAGATGGCTGTGGTATGGAACTGAGGGTATTTATAGTGCCTTAGGAATCTTCTGATTGGTGAATCATTAATTGAATAATGCGGGACCGGCTGTGTTCAATCATAAGCATGTGATCCTCTTGAAATTATTTTATAAATAAACTTCACTTATAGTCAGTGAAAAAATTAGACGTGTTATTATAAACATTTACAATTCAGTCGTATCAGTTCTGAACGATGCACAATCCTGATACACGCTTCATGCCTTGACTTACGTTTTGGCTGTAGTGCTGTAAGGTTCTTTCTACCATCACCACCCCTGGTGAGTCTTCTCCTGAGCCTTCTTCATACAAAACAACTTTCATTTCCAGTAGAAAACAGTCAAAAAACCTAAATGTGCAATTCTGCAGACAAGCAAAGAGCAAGTGTTTCAGTTTTATACAGAAATGTTGTGCAGTGTTACTAAAGTTCATTCAAAACAATAATAGAGCAGAGCAATGAGACTTTCATACAATTTGACTATTACACTGTATAGACAACAAGAATTTCATTTAGTGTAACACTAGTTTGTATGCTAAAACATTTTAGAGTATTTTGACAAATTAAAATGATTTATGGATCACAGTTTGGCATGAAATACTCCTGATTTTACTTTTCCGTTATCCTTCAAACCTCTACAGTAGGTTTTACTCAAATTTCAGTGATGCATTTTTAACTTTTAAAATACAGAATTGAATAAGCCTCATATCATCTTTACATAAAGATGATGAAATCATGTTGTTAATTAAACATTCAGGCAGACACTTTACATACACTTAATATGCTTTATGTATTTAATAAAATCACTTTTGTTCATTTAATTCAATGGTCCCCAACCACCGGGCGTGGAACAATTGGTACCGGGCCACATAAGAAATCATACATTTTTTCTGTCCCCCCCCCCCCGACTTGGTTTCTTCCACTCACCCCCGCCATCTCACGTAAAATGGACTATGCCAAAATCCAACACGGAGCGGGAAGAACGATAGAATATAGCTCAGTGGTGGTTGTTGATAGTTTAAAGTTATAAAACAGGTATTATAGAGTCCAAATCAGCAGAGCATTTAAGGATTGTGCATATATGTGTGCGTGCATCTCTTAGTAAGTACTCAAAATCATTGCAATGTGTATCTGTATGGAGTTTCACATAATCATACTCATTAGGGCTGTGACATGCCAATGCATACATTTAATTCGGCTATACGGTTGTATTATTGTTAATATGTTCGTCAGTTGAAATGTTTGGCACAGATGTTTTGTATTTGATGCATATAAACCTTGATTGAAACATTATCAGACCGCTATAGTGCAACTAGCGCATGCGCACTGAGTTGTTCATGATTAACCTGAATGCACGAGCGCAGCAGCTGTGTTCACGTGAAGCCCCGCCACACCGGTCCATGGTAAAATTGACAACCGTTGACCAGTCCGCGGTGATAAAAAGGTTGGGGAGCACTGATTTAATTCATTCAGACACAAAAATGGCACCTCTAGTATTTGACCCAAGTGAAAATTGTATTAACATCAAATCATTTGATGAAGTTATTTAAGTGGTCTTACGTGAATATCGTCTATCTTTGGCGTGTACAAGTGTGCTGTAGAGCTCTAAAAGAGAAAAGGTTTGGAAATGATTATTCTATATGAGTTTTGGTCGAACAGTGCGTCATAATATCACATTTCACACTTACTGTGAATAATTTCTTATGGTTCTCTAGTATAGTCAAGAGGTCTTCCAGTCCCTGTTCTGGATGTCCTGCTTGACCTTCAGTCAAGGGCAACAGAGCACTTAGACAGCTGAACACACACAAAATAAATGGCACAACATCACATCAGTTCGTGTACAGTGGTTTAGTAATCCAGCAACACACAAGCTATTATCTGCACATTATCTCCATTACACCTCCATTTGAAAAGCCACACTGTCTGTCTGTGAATACAGCTAATATTGCAGTAACCCAGCAGGCACACTGATGTCAACACTACATCAAAAATGATGCCAAATGTAAATCGATTTGATGTCAAAGCCTTGACATCCACACATTAGCTACGTTTCCATTTACCTATTTTATGTGCATTTTGGATATGCACATAAAAAACGGTTGATGGAAACACCAAGATGTGCATCAATTTTGAAAATGCGCATAACTAAGTTGGATAAACGTTTTATTCGATGAGAAAAAATGTGCATAAACTGCGATGGAAACACTTCATTCATTCGTTCATTTTCTTGTCGGCTTAGTCCCTTTATTAATTCGGGGTCGCCACAGCGGAATGAACCGCCAACTTATCCAGCAAGTTTTATGCAGCGGATGCCCTTCCTGCCACAACCTGTCTCTGGGAAACATCCACACACACATTCATACACTACGGACAATTTAGCCTACCCAATTCACCTGTACCGCATGTCTTTGGACTGTGGGGGAAATCGGAGCACCCGGAGGAAACCCACGCAAAGGCAGGGAGAACATGCAAACTCCACACAGAAACACCAACTGAGCCGAGGCTCGACCCAGCGACCTTCTTGCTGTGAGGCGACAGCACTATCTACTGCGCCACTGCCTCGCCTGGAAACACTTTTACCGCACAAATTCCAGTGTGCGCATTAAAAAAGGTCCTGTGATTTTTGTTATAAGAGATCATGTGATGATAAAAATGAGTGTGAATGGACAAACCAGCAGGCTGAGCACACTGTAAACCATCTGAAATGTTGTTTTGGTCATTCTAAAACTCCTTAACCATTTCAGTATTAGTATTAGTATCAGTATTATATTATTAATGACCTCCACAGTCAAGAGCGTCCACGTCTCACGCCTTCAAACTCCACCGCACGTTCACTGCGTATCAGGATTGCCTTCTGAGACACAAGTCATTTATTAAATGAAGAAAAGATTCACGCAGCTTCTCCTACCACTGCAAATTCCATTTTTACTGTTGATATTTGGCGCCAGTTAATCAGGAAGTGACGATTTTGTTCGCTTTTGACTCGTTGGATGGAAACGCTGCTTTATTCGCACGTCTTTTATGCGATACTCCAGTTTTGTGCATAAAGTTGATTCCCATTTTTGGATGGAAACATAGCTAATGATGCGCTTTTGACCACAAAAATAACAACACAACATTATTATAATATAAGAAAAGTTTTGTACATCTAAACACTTTAATTACAAATGATATAAATGTCACAACAAATGGTATAAATGTCTAAACAACATCAGTATATGACTTGCTCAAAAGTGACTATTAATATAGTAACACTAGCTGTGTTAAGCTGTTGTGTGAAAACAAAATCCCATTTGCGATCATGCTCATGCACTAACATTTGAGAAAGACCTATAAAATTTAAAGAATAAAACCCCATCAATGTATATTGTTTGCTTTCATAATGTCCAGGTCCATTCTAATAGGCTTCATCACTTAGTCACGGCTTTTGGATGTTGTTAGCAAAATGAGCAACCTGCTCCATAACACCTGTTCAGGACTTGCAAAATCCGGTAGTCTGATGTCCCGGGGTTTATGTTTTACCGTTGGGCTACTAAAATCTATCTCCATCTTAGTGGGAGAAAAAATACATTTCAATGCCTTTACATTCACTCAAAAATTTATTAATTCTGTGTGTGCTGTACTGCTGATAAGTGCTGCAATAAATCCACTTTTTAAATTGTGAAAAGCCACAATATAAACAAGTAATCTTAAATAACGCAGTGTTTCAATTAGGCATGGGACGATAACCATGTTCAAGGTATACCGCGGTTTGGAAAAGTCAAGGTTTTAAAACCGCCAAAATATTCTGTAATACCATTCCTAAGGTATGTGTACGATTTTTTATTGACTTTTTTTGTTGTTTTTTTTAGGAAAACAGTATCTTCAGCAGAAAAATATATCCAAAGATGCCGTTTTAAATGTGTGTTTTAGAAACTAATGAAGACAGCAGAAGTCAAGGATTCATTTGAATTATTTAGTCTGACATGTTTCCTGCTTCATAATATTTTAAATGTTTTCCTAATTTAAATATATTGTGTAGAAAGGGGAAAAAGTTTTGTTTTTTACCCAGATATTTAAAAAGAATATTTTAGAGCAGTAATCTTGATACCGTGATATTTATTTACATGGTTATCATACCGTCAGAATGTTATACCGGCCCATGCCTAGTTTTAATCAGCACACAGCACTGAAGCACACAAATACTTATCACACAGTGACGAAAAGATTCAGATACAGAAATAGCCTGTGCCAGGCTTTAAATTTAATAATCATACGTGTAAATTTGACGTGCATCAATACCAGCAGCATAACATTAAACTGAACTGCGTGGTTATGAAGGATAGAATACAGTTATTGACAGTTAAAGTTGATGGTTTGTCTACTTTTCACGATTATTTAACAGGATCAAATAATTGTCATTCAGCTTGTAAAATGTTAAAGTTAAACATTTTAAAGGGATAGTTAAAGAGCAGTTACCCAAAAATGATAATGCGCCAACTACTCACTTACTTGATTCAAACCGGTTTTAGTTTTTTATTTTCTTTTTATTGAACACAGATATTTTGAAGCGTTTTATGCTTTTCTTTAATATATTTTTTTTTGTGTGTGTGTTCACTAAAAAAGAGAAAGAAACACAAACTGGTTTGAATTGTACAGCATGAGTAAATAATGACAGAATTTTAAGTGGGAGCAAATCTTTTTGCGGCATGGTAGCCTCGACTATAAATATCACCTCTGTTATTTGATCACTTTTCAAAGCTCATGTTTTCCACCCTTTTCATTGTAAGCAAACCTCAAAGGCTAAAAACAGCTTTGTTTCAATTAGATAGCAGTGCTGTTTGCTCCAGTCTTGCCTCATTAACTCTTAAAGACCTAGACAGCGTCTCAAGGCTAAAAATATTCATTCAATTTCCTTCAGCTTAGTCCCTTCTTTATCCAGGGCACCACAGCAGAATGAACCACCAATTATTCTAGCTTATGTTTTACACAGCAGATGCCCTTCCAGCCGCAACCCAGTACTGGGAAACACCCATACACCCATTCTCTCTCTCACACACACAAACACACAAACACACACACACTCATACACTACAGCCACTACAGCTTATTCTCTTAATGAATTCTGGGTGTTTTTTGAGAATGAACTATTTTGAGAATGAATTATTTTTTTTAGAATAATACAGTCAGAATTACTTCATCTCATCTTTTTTTTTGTTCTTTTTCAAATATTTCCAATTTATGTTTAACAGAGCAAAGACATTTCACAGTATTTTTATATAATATTTTTCCTCTGGATTAAGTCTTTTTTTTAGTTTGGCTGGAATAAAAACTGTAAAATGTGGTTAATATTATTACAATGGTCAATATTAGAATATGGTCAATATTATTAGCCCCCTTACATATTTTATTTTTTCTTCAGATGTCTACAGAACACCACAATAACTTGTCTAGTTATCTTAGTTAAGCCTTTAAATTGCACTTAAAGTCAATTACTAATCTTCCAAATAACTAGAAGAGCAGTAGGTACTGTCGTTATTGTGATAAGGAATTAAATTAGTTATTGGAAATTGGTTATTCAAACTATTATGCTTAAAATATCTTCTTTAAGTTAAATAGCACTTGGGAAATGTTTTTAAAAGATTTACATTTTACAATATGGCTAGTAATGTAGTCTTCAACTGTATATGACACTTGACACTGTAAGATAAAATAAGAATAAGAGTGCTGTCGGCGCAATAGCCAAGTGGTTAGCGTGCCGACATATGGTGCAGTAGCACGTCGGGGCGGCGCGAGTTCGAATCCCAGCTCGACGATATTTCCCTACCCTACCCCCTCTTTCTCTCTCCCACTTCGCTTCCTGTCTCAACACTGTCCTATCTAATAATAAAGGCAAAAAGGCCAAAAATAAATCTAAAAAAAAAAATAAGAATAAGAGTGCTGAAAAACGGCAGGCCAGTCGTGTACAAAAAAGCTGTAGGTCTCTAAGGGTTAATGATGTGCAGACACACTCAGCTAATGCACACTTCAGGGATTCAACCGCACATAAAAGCACATTTCAACTGCACTTTAGCAATCCCAGATGTGCGATGGTGACCACTATTGATTTATTTATTGTACTGTAACTTTAAAGGGACATGTGGTTTAGCTCTCTCATGAGCTGTAACTCAACAATTATAAACTCAACAACTATAATCCATGCACATGATGTATGTACAGGCTAAAATACTCGTTTAGCTTCTATACAGACGAGGTGAAGATATTATTATTTATACCGTGTATTGTTTAAATTGACTATCCTTTTGGTTATGTTGGTGGCTGTTTTCGTTCATTGGCCTTCATTAAAACCAAATTTTTTGATTGCCACAACAGCATATAATAGTGCATTCTTTCGAGTCAATGCTTACTTTCATGATTTTTTCACTGTTGAAGAGGTTAAAAAACTGAAGGAGTAAAACAGCAGACAATATTGTGTGAATCAATTGACTTACTATGTTTACTGTTCTGAGAGCTGAGCTGCTTATTTAGGTTTTCTCAGTGGCATTTGCGCACTGTTGAAATGTCTTTCTTACACACACACACACACACACACACACACATGCACACTATACTCTATAACTCCATATATGGGAAACCGTAACTCCACTAAACTATTTTTGCACAACAACTGATAATCAACAGTAATAAATCAGCAACAAGAATGCATGATTATATGCAGTCGTGGCTTTGCAATCCAAAAAAAAATCATTATAATGAATGTCAATATGGCAAAAACAGCCACTAACATAACAACTAAACCAACATAACAATAAAAAAATGACTGAAACAGCACAATTTTGGGGGGTTTTATTTGAAACAAATGTTTAATTAACCTTATATCTTCATCTTGTACCAACACAAATTGAACACAGCGTTTTATTTTACAATATAGTCAATTTGCCTGGAGTGAATTGAGGTTTTGAAAAATGTCAAAGCATTTTCCCAAAATATGTGTCAAAATAAGATTTTTCACCTAAAATTTTTCCACTTGCTGAAAACACAGAGAACGTTGTGGCCAAATTAAGCCTCAAAATCCCCCCAGAGGGGATGAAAACATCCCCAACAGCACACAAGGGTTAAAGCATACTGTACAACACTGCTCACTATATAAGTTGCCTATAATCATTTACTAAAGAGACCTTGATGGCATAGTGCAAGCGAAATGTTTGAGTGCAAGAGTTATCACTTTTAAAGCACCGTTATAAAGTCTCATGTTTAAATTTATCTGACGCATTAATGCTTTCAATAACCAGATTATTGTGGGTTTATTACATGTTGCACAGGTGTCAATTCCAGTTCCTGGAGCGCCGCAGCTCTGCACAATTTAGTTCCAACCCTGCTCTAACACGCTTACCTATAAGTTTTAAACAAGCCTGAAGGACTCAATTAGTTTGATCAAGTGTGTTTAATTAGAGTTGGAGCAAAACTGTGCAGAGCTGCGGCCCTCCAGGAGCTGGAATAGACACCTGTGACATAGAGGTTAGCACTGCAGGCTGTGGAGACATTCATATTAGGGCTGCACAATATAGCGTCTTAGCATTGATATCCCAATGTGCACATCCGCAATCGTCACATCGCAGGATTTGCAATGTTCGTTTTAGGGTTTGGCGATGTCGACCAATTTGGCATATAACAATGTCTAATGTGAAATATTGCGATGGATGATGGCATCGTCGTCATAGGCGTCGGTGAATTAATTATTCATGAACATTTAATTCATTCATAATGAATAAATTATTTGTAGCCTACCGTTTCAACTACCTGACCCGCATGGTCTTTGTTTTACCCATAAACAAATCATAAATAAATAAAGATAAGTTGTACACAAATTACCACCTGTCAATCCCTTTTTACACGGGACTCTGGCATGAATAGGCAGAGTGATCTGGCCGTTATAATGCCGTTGACAAACTTGGTTGGTACAAAAGGTGCACAACCAACAGGAACCAACCAACAGTATCTGAGGTTTGTGCTAAAATTACTAAGTACAGGCTTGAAACTGAAACATTGAAGCAGTGTATCTGCGCTGAGACTTGTTACCTGATAGATTCAAAAGACAGAAGAGTCATTAGATAGAGACAAGATTAATTGAATATCATGTTTATCAACTATAGTGAGACACGATCCAGTGGTACATCCTTGATCAATTGTCCGACGTGCACTGCTCAAAACATCCGGTGAGCTGGTACTCGTATAGTGTCGAAGGATTGCTTTTCAGAAATGCTAGATGTAACGCCAGAGTGGATGTGGATCGTTTTCGTTCTGAAATGATATTTTAAAACTAAGCTGTATTAGTGTAAGCAGGACCTGAGTGTGTATTTTTCGCAAGCGGGTTTGCGACGGGAGCGGGGTGGAGCATCGTAATGCCGGCTCAGCATCAAGATGTCTATTGGCCATGGGCGATAAACGATGGCATCGTCTATCAGCCAAACTCAGTTATGGTTCAGTTATGGTTACAGTTAAAATACAGTCGAAATGTTTTCATTAGTTAATCTTTGACATTTTGATGAACCATTCCCTGCCCTAAAGAATCAGTCCAATCAATCTAATTGAATCAATTGTTTATAAACAGCTCTTTAAGTCATCTGGTGAAGTTGTTTATATATTGTAATTTTTATGGCAGAAAAACAAAATATCACAATGTCAGATTTTTCCAGTGTTGTGCAGCCCTAATTCATATTGTTGTATTTGTAAATTCTTAATGTCTAGGTTAGATGTTATGTGTTTTTTTATTTTATTTTTTTTAAGATTTGGATCTTGAGTCTGTAATAAAGTTTGAATAAATGAATATAAAAAGTCCAATTAGACCACTCTCTGTTTTACTTTTGAAGTGCGAGTAAATATAGATCAGTATATGATGAAGAGATGTTTAAAAGTATTCGTCATAAATGTCAGGGTGGGGGCAGGTTTACATTTTAGATAAATGATTCATACAACGACACATAGCCAAAACAAATGCTTTCTATTCCTGCTGTTTCAAGAATTGATTTACACTTCATGGAGATTCTAACCAACAATGCATTTACTGGTTGTTAGTAAAATTGCTGGTCAATTTAGCTTTTTTAACACAAAATAGCAAGTTGTACACTGAATTAAATATATTTTGAAGTTACAATTTCAGATTCAGTGTTTTGCAATTATTTGTGAAATTTACCACCAATACTGAGTGAAAAGTAAATTACATGCCGTTTTTGTCACTATAAGATTATTAAGGGCTCTGTTAACGATATAGGCACACAGTGTAAATGAAGGGTGCAAAAGCATTAAGAGTGTCTCAATCCACTAGTTTAAGGACTGAAAAACACTCGGCGCCACAGTGCATGGTCTAACAAGGTTGAGCTTATTCTCTTAATGATTTCTGGCTGTGTTTTGAGAATAAACCAATCAGAGTCTCACCTCCTATTCATTTTAAGAGTCAGTTGCATAGCGCCATGGCGCATTTTGCAATTTACAAGGCGTACTTTGTAAGTGAATAATCTGAATGCTTCACTACAGTGAGCAAACACATAAATGAACAATAATAACAAAGTGTGTTCAAACAACTATGAGATATATCCAAACACACGTGCTATTCCTATGCCCCATACAATCCAAAACCTGACAGGTGGTGGACAAATCTAAGCTTGTTTTTAATAAAACAAATACAAATTTGCATATAATAAATAATATTAATTGTAATAATAATATTATACAAAAGAAAATTGCCATGAATAAACTAAAAAAGCCCCCCGAGATGAAAGCAATGAGGTACTGTTTTTTATATTTATGTAGAAAGTAGTAATTTTTGTAATATTTTATTCCTTTAATTCTTTTTCATTTATTTGTGTATTGCTGAACATCCTGCATTTTTCAAGCAATGTGTAAGCCATGTGCTGAACTAACGCACTCTGCCCTGGACTTTAGACCTGCTTTCGGCTGGTCTATTACACAGTCTATTTTAGTTTCTCAAAATAGACACCAATAGGCCACTGTCTAGCTGGTGTATTTGCATACAGCGATCTGATTGGCTGACGCTTCTGTCGGCGCTTGAAAAGTTGAGCTAGTCCCAACTTCTGCAGCGAGCAATGCCTCTGAAGCGGCGCCAACGGATCCACATTGCAGTTCGGCAACGCCTGACGCAACCCATTCAAAGTGACGCTGATGCCCCGTGTGAATGGGGCGTAACACTTCTTTTCTAGACCGGAACACCCATGAGTCCATAAAGTGGCATAAATGGATTTGCTATTTAAACAATGTGGCTGAAAACAGGAATATTAGGGGTGCATTGGTCTGAAAATAGCAACACATCAGGGCAAACACGTCTTGCGCCTTATTGTGCCGGGTGTATGATAGGGCCCTAAGTATCTGTTTTCAATGCTTTAATATATGTCTTTTCTGCTGATTCTGCTGTTCTGTTAAAACGCCAAACAAAGCAGTTTAGAAAACACAGAAATATCAGTTGGTATAGCAAAATGTCATATTTGCTTGTCGTTTATTAGTAGTAACTTAAATAATTGGATTTAAGATGAAAATGGGTCAAGCATCTACTTTAATGACTGTACAGGTTTTGATTATACACTCACATTATAATATATTGTCATTCTGTGTCACAAACAAATTATAAACCATACAGAAATTATATAATCATTATAAAATTATTAATCAGCTAGTTTTTAATAATTGAATACAATGAAACCTAGTATGAATATGTAATCTGTTATATATTTTAATAAGTAAAGCTAAGAGTGTTTAGTTTTTCACATAAATAAAATTACCTTGTTACTATTGTCTGTTACTCTGAAGGACAAGCGGCCATTGTTTCATCTATTCTTTAAATGTTGTACACAAAGGTTATTAAGCACATTGCACATATCCATGCTGTCTATGTATATAAAAAAATCACCTTTTCAGACTTAATATTTCAACCCTAAAATAGATTACACTGGTGTTCTGGTTGACGTATAACTATATATTTAAAGGGCCAGTTCAGCCTTAAAATGAAAATGTCCTCATTATTTACTCCCACTCAAGTGGTTGTCAACTTTTATAATGTTATCAATACATCACACAGGAATAAATATTGAAAAGTGCTGGACAAAACAGTCATTAACATCCAAACAAACTACAAAGCAGTCTTAAGTTGTCAGTGTTATTCCAGCATTGTTCAGTATTTCTTCCATTGTGTTCAACAGAAGAAAGAAAAACAAGTGGAGGATGAGGAAATGATGACAGAACTTTCATTTTCAGGTGAACTATTCCTTTAAATACAGATGTTTAGTATGCGGGTTACTGTTTAGGGATATGTACTCATGCATAATTAATGTCATTACTACATTAAACATGTAACAATCATGCCGTAAAACACCCCAAAATATGATGTTTACTAGCAATGTATGACTACCAACTGATTGAATAAATGCAACACTAAATATCTGGTTAATTTTAGCATCTCTGTCTCTCTCTGCCTGATTAACACAGCAATCATCAAAATGAAATATGCAGTCTAGTTTCTTAGATATACCTCAGAATTAAGATAGAATTCCAAACCTCTGAGTTCCAATGACATTCCATGTGATTCTCAAAGCACAGAGTGTTACAAGCACATCTTCCAGTTCTCTGCAAGAAATCACACACACACACACACACACACACAGCTTTAATACAGAGAAGACCGGAAACATTGAAAAAAGCCCACAGAAAAGAGAAGCGACTCTCCCAGCTCTTAGTGAAAATCTGCCTCAATTTCCAGGAAACAAAGCGTACAATCTTTGCACACCACAACACACTGAGCGACACCACTAAACAAACACCCGTGTCATTGAGTAGAATGATGGAGAGTTTCTGCAGCCTAAAAATCAAGCAGTATTATTGTCTGTTATGTGCTTATTATGGTCTTTTTTTCATGAGACCCCTATTTTTACATTCAAAACCTTTAATGACCCCATAAAAGAACCTAGCAGACAAGAATGCTTTTTAATAATTTAAAAACTACTTAAAGATGAATAATATTATAAGCAGTTTTATTTTAAAAATTGTAAACAAAGTTAAACAACATTGTCTGATATTTAGTAATTTCCTTCGATATTGTTTTTCAGACTGCATTGGGGTTTTCTTTAGTTTTGGGGGAGTGGGGGTTCATTTAATATTTCAGAAATTTTACATATGCGACTTCAAAATATATTAAGGAGCATTTATGCAAATTGCAAAAACATTGTTGTGTGCGACCAGTTTTTACTGCAAAATGTTCACCACATGCGCGGATTCGGGAGACATTCACGCTGAATGCATCTCTGCACGGGAAACGCAGCGTTCAGGAATGGTTTAAAACAGTTGTCATGTCAACTTGCTGCAGTAAACAAAGCCAATTCCATAATGCTTGCCCCGCCTTCGCGCTCTTTTTATTGGCCCGCCACTGCTCTAGCACTGAAATATCAGCTGTCAATCACTCAGTCAATGCATTCTGGCTTGGGATGACAGAGAGAGCTAACACCGCGAAAAACTGTAAAGCGCTGAAGATGAGAATGAAAAGAACAATGACAGATTTTGTTTTAGATATCATGGCATCTAAAGTTACAAATAATGACACATCTTAGTAGTGATCATGTGCTGAATGTTAATCCACCATCTACACTTTTATCCACACGAAGAGTGGATAAAAGACTTCCATTTGCTTCAAGTCCGCTATGAAAAGTCTGTGGGATGGAATTTTCAGGTAACTGTTTGCCCCCTCTAGCACGAGAGCTTCTGTTTAATCCTTTATAATCGCCAAATGCTGTCCGCTGTGCAAGTGGCAGCTATATGTAAAATTGAACACCACGTACACCATCGCAAACGGGCTTGCACTGAGTAAACTAATATCACTACTCATAAAAAGACCGGTATTGCTATTAACATGACGTATGCATAAAATAAGGTACAGTATATGTCAAAAGCATCAGTGCAATATCAGACAGCACCCGTGAGAACAGCACAGTTATACCGTTAACAGATTCATTCATGTCAAGCAGTGCGTGCTGGGCTGGTGAGCGCTCCGTGTACCTTTTGCTCACTCAGTTGTTATAAAAATCTATTTTCTTCTAATAACGGGATTTCGTTGAGGCATATTTTCCTCACGCTGGCACATATATTTTTTTGCTTGTTAGTTTGATTAGTGTTGATTTCAAATGCAATAAAATATGTTTGTATAAATCTTGTAGTAACGGTGCTTATAAGTGCGACTAAATTTTGGCTGATGCGCCTAAATGTTTAAAGTTAGGAGCACCGGTGCTACCAAGCAAAAAGGTTCATTTCGAGCCCGGAGACAGTGTTGCCAGATTGGGCGTTTTCCAGATTGGGGTTTTGAAAATTTTAGAGATTAGAGATTTTTGTATTCCACTCATTTAACAAAACACGACTGAGTGCTCCTACTCTAGCGCAAACTTAAAATATTAAAATCTGACTCCCCTTTACGTGCACGCTCATCACACATCACCTGCAGGTAAACTCACAGCGGTTTATCATTACACTTAAGTGTTGTCTAATTGACAAGCAGCGCCTAATTACGTTCAAAAGAATTTAATAAATAGTGAGGAATGTTTCATTTTTGGGTGAACTGTCCCTTTAAGAACACAATTTACCCTCTGTTCAAGACACATTTTACCGATGCATGTGTTGTCTATGATCAAACCAACAATTGTTATGATACTAAAACACTATGCTTTATGGAGGTACATGATTCATGAATTTAAGCACTGACAAAAGTGCACAATACATGAAATGCAGAGTCATTTCTAATTTATGCAGTTCGGATCCAAAAGCAATATTTACTTTGAACCAATGTCATCAAATCCCTTAGATCTCAATTATCCTGTGATTTAGGGTTGTTGATGCTCTTGCTGAGCCAATTAAACTTAATCACTTAATGTGAATGACCTGAATGGTCTGTTAACCATTCATTGCAGTTCAAACCAAACAACTTTAATAACGTTTACTGATTTTATGAACTGGTGGAGTGAGACTGAGCTCAAAAATATATTTACTGTTATTTCACTCTGATTTTAAAAGGATAGTTCACCCAAAAATATTAATAGTTTACTCACTATTTACTCACACTTAAGTGGTTTCGATACTTTAAAAGCAACCTTTGACCTCCATATAGTAAAAACAAATACTATGGAAGTTAATGGTTACAGGTTTTCAGCATTCATCAAAAAGTATCTCTTTAAATAACAAACATTACTGTTATTAAAATGCTGCAAATGCCCTAAAAAAGAGTGCTGATGGAAACCTCTGAATTTATTCTTCTCGAAATCTTCATGGTAATTGAGGATTAAAGTCTTTCTCTTTACTAAAAACACTTTGGATTGCACTTCCTGTCAACACTTACTTTCTGAATTCAATCATGTGCAAAGCATGCTGAGAATTATACACCACCTGACAAAAGTCTTGTCACCAATCCAAGTTTTAGGAACAACAAATAATAACTTGACTTCATGTTGATCATTCGGCATCAGAAGTGGCTTATATCAAAGGCAAAGGCCTCTACTGTGGATTACACTTATTTTACCAGAATATAATATGATCATGCCTTGATTTTTTTTATTATTTCATTAGCACAGTAAGGTCTGACTTTGCTTAGATAAAAGTGCCATCACTTAACAGAAATAAAGTCCAGTATGGAATATAAAGTCCTGCTGCAGTGGAGACAGACTGAATATCGTGTCTGACTCCATCATGAGCTTGGAGGACTGCATCCATACATCTCTGCAATGACTCAAATCACTGATTAATAAACTCATCTGGAATGGCAGAGAAAGCGTTCTTGCAGGACACCCAGAGTTTACCAAGATTCTTTGGCTTCATCTTCAATGCCTCCTCCTTCATCTTACCCCAGACATGCTCAATAATGTTCATGCCCGGTGACTGGGTTGACCAATCCTGGAGCACCTTGACCTTCTTTGCTTTCAGGAGCTTTGATATAGAGGCTGAAGTATGAGAAGGAGCGCTATCCTGCTGGAGAATTCACCCTCTCCCCTGGTTTGTAATGTAAAGGGCAGCACAAATGTCTTGATACCTCAGGCTGTTGATGTTGCCATCCACTCTGCAGATCTCTCGCACACCCCCATACTGAATGTAACCCCAAACCATGATTTTTCCTTCACCAAACTTGACTGATTTCTGTGAGAATCTTGGGTCCATGCAGGCTCCAGTATGTCTTCTGCAGTGTTTGTGATGATTGTGATGCAGCTCAACAGATGATTCATCAGAAAAATCCACCTTCTGCCACTTTTACAAATGATCAACTAGAAGTCAAGTTATTATTTGTTGCTCTTAAAACTGGGACCTTTTATCAAGAAGTACATTACCCATGCAATTAGTTATCACAAAAAATATTAATGTTGTCCTGAATTAAGTTAACATATAATAAGATTTAATAATGATCTAATCAATTGTTTTTAAAGAAGTCAAGAACTGTGTTTTCATCTCATTTATCCAAGCAATTTGAACAAGTGATGCAGCAACGTTATTTTTAGTGCACAGAAAGAGAAGTGGCTCTCCCAGTTGTTGGTAAGAAAATGCTTGATTTCCAGGAAACAGAGCGTGCAGTGTGTGAAACTAAAACACTCAACAATCAATTACACAAGAGCTTTAATCTAATCTTAAACCATGTGCATGACTTTCAGGTCTATACAGATGGTAAAAATCTGTCTCGGGAATGTTGTTGTGCTAATGAACAGGTGTGCAGACGTATTAACTAAAATAATTACTCAATTTGTTACTAATAATAAACTTTTTTTTCCTCTTTACATAGTGACTATTACAAATATGATACTAATGCTTTTAAACAGTGAACATCTGTCTTGTTGTTGATCTATTTTAGTATTAACAGTGTTATTACTGTACATATGTTAGTTTTTTTAATCCGTTCCACTTGTCCAAGAACAAATAAAGTCATAGATGAGAGCCTGTTTTGGTGTCTACAGTGTACAACGGTCATCAGATACAAGCCGAATACATAAAAGTGTGTCATTTTAATGTTTCAGATATCTTTTATGAAAACTGATTTCTAGAAATGCACTTGCAAACCTCCCGACTATACTTTATTATGTGTCTGTGTGTATGTTGGTTGTGTCCCAATTTTGCCTCATTGTTCAAGTATGTCTTATATTGAAATAATCTGAGGACTTCTGACCTGAATTGGCAGTATGTTGGAGGTCATTCACAGTAACAGCTTGAGTCATTTATTATCATAAAAACTGATTTAACAGTGTATGACATCAACAAACGTGTCTTGAAGATCACGTGGTGCTGCAGCTCAGTGACTTCATTGCAGTTGTTCATGGTGTTGCAGCTTACCAAAGCACATTCTTCAGTTGTCAGAAAATAGGCAGATCATGTGATTAACCTTAATGGTCAAGCCAAGTGTGCCGCAAGCCTACGTTCGAGTGAAGGTTTCGGCCGTTAGATCGCCCCCTGGGGGCTGGCTGCAGTACAAGTCATAAAGCCCGCCTCCTCCGTGTTAATGAAGGAGACTTGAGCCCAAAAAAAAAAACAAATATTACACTTGCAATAAAATGTCCCGAAAGATAGTCGTGGTCGATTAAGGCACTGGTTATTGTGCTGAAATAGGTGCAGAT